GAACAACCAATCCTCATTCCCCCTTTTTTTGCTTTCACATGGAACAAACTGTCTCTTATGTTGGACGAATCATGACCACATGGATGGAAAATTAATTCCATTCTAACCTTTCTGCTTTATTGAACAATACACAGCTGCATACTTAAACTGTGTCAATGATGCTTCTTTCTTATGCCGGGGAATTTTGCTGCTCTATTACAAGTGCTATATCTAAAAGTTCAACTAACGTTATATCTTTATAATTTGAATCATATGGATGTAAAATTAATGCCATGCTAACCTTTCTGCTTTAGTGAACGATATACAACTGCATACTTAAACTGTGTCAGTTTTGCTTCTTCATTATGCCAGGGCATTTTGCTGCTCTATTACATGTGCTATATATATATAAGTTCAAATAACGTTATGCCCTTATAATTTGAATCATATGGATTTAAAATTAATGCCATTCTAACCTTTCTGCTTTACTGAACAATTTACAGCTGCAAACTTAAACTGTGTCGACGACGCTGCTTCATTATTTTGGGGACTTTTCCTGCTTTGTTACATGTGCTAATGTGCTATATCTATACATTTGAATGCCCTTCTATGTTTATGCGCGGTGGATTGGGGTCTGTTTTTTGTTTTTCTTAATTCTTTTCTATAAGACTCACAATTAGTTATTTGCGTTCTAATAATAAAATATCTGTGTTACACTTGCATCTTCAAACTTATAAACTGTGTAGATGCTGCTGCTTCATTGTGTTAGGGACTTTTGCTGCTCTGGTACATGTGCTATATCTATACGTTCAAATAATGTTCTATGTTCATACATGTGCTGGATCGGGGTTCGCATCCTGCTTTTTTTCTTGTTCTCTTTTGTAGGGCTTATCATTAGCTACTCTTGGCTTTTCATGATAGAATTCTAGGTTTCTAGCTAAATAAACCTTGTTTATTACCAATCTTTGGAAATGAATCTCCAGAGAATTCAGCATTATGTGCAGCAGGAAATGATATGCAAGTTCAGTGCTGACTGTAGTATGCTGCTACCCAATAGTCTATTAGAATATGATCAACCATCCACACTTATGAACAGTTTTTGGTGGGTTATTTGCTGTGTTACGTTTGGACTAAATGTAACCAAATTCAGTTGTCACATAAAGCGATGCACAAACTCTGAATAGTACTACACTATTACTGTATAAACAGTCACAGAAATGTGAAAAGGATGGCCCAGTATGCACAATTTCTAGCTAGCAAGTTTGCTGTGCTCTGCTCTCCCATCTAATCTACAGTTTACATGGGATCAGAAGTTTATGTTCAGTTTTACTACCAAGTAAAGTAGGAGTGGGACATGGAGAATAAAGTGCAAAGCCACCGACACAGCACTGGGCCACACCGAAGGATGTCTAAGCTTTAAGGTAGCATAAACATGCAAAAGACCTAGATTATGTGTACTCTGCATCATGAGGCGGTGGTGGCACCCCTTATGCAGTCACACAGTATGGTTTCAGTTCAGAACCAAGGATTGGATGTTACATTTGTCTTATCAAGAGCACCAAAAAAAGTGCACCATGTGTGACCCCATTAGAAGAACTTCTGCTGTACTTTGTAAAGTATCTATGGTCTATGGAAGCAAGGAATACTTTATGCTGATGGATATGGGCCGGGGAAAAAGAGATAAAAACCCTAGCTTTTCATGCACTCCATGCATAAACAACATAGTTTTCCTGAACTGCGTATGCCCTAGCTAATTTTTCCCTCTTTTATTGTCAATTTTATTACAGCTTTTTATAATAAAAACAAATTTATTTTAGCAAGACAATATCTCTAAAATCCTGCATATTTCCAAGGTATGATTACTACAAGATTGGCTGGATTTTAGTACTATGAACTGCATCCTGAGCTCACTAAATGCAGCAGAAACACAATGATTTAACTGATACTGAAAGTGAGGAGAGGAGGATGAAGGAGTAACCTGAACCCCCATGGTGTTGTTGCATTCGCTTTCCTCGATGCGGTACTCATGCATGACCCAGTTGCTCCTGATCCCCTGAGGAGCTCGGCCTTGGTAGAAGACTAATGTCTTCTTCATACCGATTGACCTCTTCTGGTAGTTGATGGATCGATCTTTACCGGTTGATTTCCAGTATCCTGCCCGAGTTGCTCGGTTCGTCCGGCATCCATTTGGATACTTCCTATCCCTTGGCCCAAAGAAGTACCACTCAGGGTCTCTACTGGGCAGGAACGATTTCTCTTCCGAAACAAAGAACATATCCCAAGTTCAATCAGGACTCAGCAGTAGTTAGGATGAACAACACAACGGAGTTTAATTTTTCAGGTTACCTGCTAGCTCCCAAGGCTCACACTTGTAGAGGTCTACCTCTGGGATGATGTCGAGTTCGATGCTCTGGCCATGGACCTTCCTCTTGAGGTAATAGTTCACAAGCTCCTCATCAGTTGGATGAAACCTAAAGCCTGGGGGGAGACCAACCGGCGCCATGATCTCCTGGTTCGCCTCCTCCTTTGTTGCCGATCTTTCTCTTTGTCTTTCCCCTTTGTCTTTCCCTACCGTGTCCAGCTTCTGCGCTCTTTAGCCCCTCCGTGAAATGATTCAAAGCCTGCCCTACAAGTAGCCGTGTCTCTCTTTCCAGGATTCTCACACAAGCAGGCTCTGGACGTCTTACAGCACCGAAGGATCTTCTTTTCATTTCTTTTAACGGAGCCGACTTTTGTTCTGTTTTTTATCTGGATAACACACTTTTATGATCTCCAATGCTGGTAGGTCGTGGAGGGGCGCTGTACCAGCATGAGAAAGTTGTCACGATGCCGCCTGCCTGGACCTTGCATTAGATCATGTTCTTTTGCCCACTGAACTTGTTTTTGTGCCTCACAAGCTTAGCCTCTTTGAAGTGTCGTAGAGAAGAAGAGGACTAAAGACAAGGGTTGGGAGCTATGCCACATGCATCTGTCTTGGGATCAGCATTGTAAAACAGAAAGTTTCAGAAGGGAAAAGGAAAGGTTCATGTAGCCATGAGGCCCTATAGTGTCAATGAGCTTGCATTGCTAGCCATTCAGACATCTAGATCAGACAAAACTTTTAGCTTTAGATTCTGACAAAGGAGTAATTGAGTGCTTTCGATCATCACATTTCCAGTAGAGCATACAAATGCCTCCAGAAGCGTAAGTTGATTAGAAAGCTCCTTGTGTTCAACAGTCCATAGAAATTAACGGCAATGATCTAGATCCTCTCTTTCTTGAATGGAAGCCGTTTGATTAGTAAGATCAAATGATCAGAGGCTGGGGTATACCCCCTTTTCAAAAAAAAAGAAAGATCAAATGATCAGTCTCAACGCAAGAAATATTTATGTGTACTGCAACCTTATTTTGAAGGGGATAAATGATGTGCTGAAAAACTGGCTGTTATTTTCTCCGAAACTCCTCCAACACTACAATGCCAACGAAGCAGACGGCGTCGCATGTAAAGAGGCCAGCGAGTAGCCTTACCCAATTCTGTACAAGAAAAGAAGGGCATCACCTTCAGATGCATGTGGTCTAAAGCAAATTCTGTTTCTAAATGTTGATTTGCAAATTACTTTGCAGTTGGTGTGACTATCCAAACGGCGAAACGGTTCAAGGGTACTATTGACCTGCTGGGCCATTCTGAAAAAGATTCAGAGCCAACACGCTTGTAGCGAAGATTCACGGTGAAGACTCATATAAGGTAGACTGCAGAACTTTAGTTCTGCCTTCTCTGGTACCAGCGAGGCAGGCCGGACCGATGCCCAGAAAGATGATATATCATTACTGTTTTTGCCTGAGATCTGCATAGAAGCTTTCCTGGCCATGTGGTAAAAGGAGATGTTATTGGAGCACCACTCGGGAAATACTTTGTTTCAGTACACGGTTTTGTGAAAAATACAGTCCCAGACCTGTATGTTTCCTGAGAGTACAAAGCTGCTCTGGGCTTATATTTATTGACTTGAGAAGGATTCTTATTGACATTCTAGGGCTACTGGTAACAGCATGTGGTAACCCCTGATCTGGAATAGTATTCCTTCAACGCTTTTGTTCACAGAAGTGTTCAATTAAGCTTCTTCGTCAGCACTGATGCATGCCTTGCAATCCAAGCATGCAATGGAACCTGCTGTATAGGATTTTCCATGTTTATAGGATGGTTCTTTGCATGTGATGTACAGAAAAAAGGTAGGTTTTCAGCATACGAAGATATGTTTAAAAATAGTAAAATGGTTCACGGTGAAATATCTATTTTATGAGTCATGAAGTATAAAAGAATGTTTTTTCATATCTATATGCTTGGTCTATTTTTCTTATGAAATATATATGTAAACAATGTATGATACAAATTTGGTTGCGAAAAATTATACTGTAGTTGCAATTTTATTTTCTTATTTATTGATCAACAGATGAATGATGAATTTACTCAGGCAATAAGAACCAGGTGCCAGGTTTGGAGCAGATTGATGCAAATTGAGCAGGCAGGCACAAACAGTTACATTTTTGTTCAATTCTATTGACATACAGGGAGACGACACACAACAACTATATATGCTATGGAATGGCATAGCCTCACTCTTTCTTTTTCACAGGAAGAGGAGAAAAAAAAGCCTCCAGTGGAGAAGCATAATAATACATATGAACACCAAGGAAAGCATGAACATAAGAAGAAGAAAAACACGAATGTAGTCTGATTGTTCCTATCATCATCATATATAAATATAAATCCTCCTTATGAGCTCAACTCCAGGAAGGATTACAGCCTTCACCTTGAGGCCAGCATCGATCAATCGGTTACCCAAACTCCCAGCAATACGCTGGAAGATGGAACCCAAAAGGATTATATATACCTTATTACTGCTTAATCTTCCACCTTCAACGCTCGGTGATTATTGATAAATTGCCAGCAGCACCGATCACAAAAAGAAAAAGGAAAAATATATAGGTATATATCAGGAGGATTATTTCCACCGACAGAAGAAGCTCTCCGGCCGCATGCATGATCAGCCGGCGCAGGAGGTGCTCTCCTCGGCGGCGGTGCTGGAGCACCAGGCGTCCTCGGAGATGAACTGCATCCAGGAGTCGTCCTTGTCCGCGTCGTCGTCTGCGTCGGCGTCAGCACCGCCGGAGGTGGACCCTGCGGGCACGTCCGGCGACGGCGTCTGGTAGTACTCCTGGCCCGTCGTGCGGCTGCCGGCGAGCAGCTGCTGGCAGGCGCCCTCGAGCAGTGCCATGCTGCACTGCCCCTCCTGCAGCTCCTCCACCTCGGCGCAGATGGCGTTCTTCTTGAAGACCCGGCACAGCGCGTACGTGTCCTGATCCATCCACCATGCATGGTATATTAACTCATGATAGGAAAAAAGCAAAAACAAGATCCATCCGCTATTGTGGGTTCTCAAGTCTTTCCTGAAAGTTTATGCACACACTGATGTATGATTATCTCATGTGCAGTTACTTCTGCCAATTAGTAGTCAACAGGCCTTGGGTTTTGGGCAATTTGATCCATCAGAGTGCCATCATAGTGTTGTATACATTCTTGTTGATTGTTAATCAGAAAAGAGGCCGATCGATGATCAAAGCAAAGCGGGAGAAGAAATAAGAAGACTACCGGCCATGGAAGAATCAGAAGGGTGCGAGGATGATGATGGGATTCAGCACGGAATAAAGCGGAAAGCGCGGGAGGACGCCGACATGCATATGGCCATGACACGAGCTGCTATCTCGCGCCAAGATGCATGAGGGCTTGCTTTGCTTTGCTCTCTAGCTTTGGCTAAGGCCCTTTAGTGTCTCATGATCAGTGCACACTGCTCTAATCTCACCCAAAAAAAAAGAGAGAACGTAGCGTAGCATGCATGGTTAACACGCAGAGTACGTACTACTCTTATCTTAGAACAAAGAGCGTAGCTGGAGAACGAACAAATACTACTAAGGCCCCGGCTTTTACTTTTGATAGTTAAACTTTTTGGACAGCAAGGCGAGGCCTACATGTTTGTCTCATCAGAGTATAGCTGGATGAAAGCAAAGTGACCCATACGCTACTACCAGCACTCGTACCGTTTTACAGACGTGATAGAAAGCCATGTTTTAATCCCCTCAGAAAATTTTTATGCCTTTCATTTGGGACGCAAGCAGAAAATTTTCTTTGCCCAGCCAGCACAAAAGAAAAGGATCAAAATTTTCTCAAAGCCCTAACTTCCAATTCCTAAAAAAGAACCCTAATTTTCCGTGCATAGGAGATGACGATCACCATGCACATGACGAGAGATATGATATAGCTAGAGAGAACGAAGGTGATTAATTATACATACCTGGATGGCGATGGTGTCCTCGGAGTCCTTGTCGTCGAGGCGGTACTCGTGCATGACCCAGTCGGTGCGCACCCCCTGTGGCGCGCGCCCGCGGTAGTACACCAACGTCTTCTTCATCCCGATGGCCCGTGCGCCGCCGCCGGCTCCTCCGCCGCCGTGGTGCTGCTGCGTCATGACGCGCCGGTCCTTGCCGGTGGACTTCCAGTACCCTGCCCTCGTCGCCCGGTTGGTCCGGAAGCCGTTGGGGTATTTGCGGTCCCTCGGCCCGAAGAAGTACCACTCCGGGTCACGGCTTGGCAAAAACGACTTCTCTGCACGCCATGAGGACGTACGTTGTAATTCGCATCAGTTCACAACACATACGCGATCGAGATCACATGCGAACTGAGATCGGTGGTGCGTACTGCACGTACCTGCGAGATCCCAGGGCTCGCACTTGTAGAGGTCCACCTCCGGGATGATGTCGAGCTCGATGTGGAGCCCGTGGATCTTGCGCTTCAGGTAGTAGTTCACCAGCTCCTCGTCTGTCGGGTGGAACCGGAAACCCGGCGGCAGACCCACCGGCGCCATACCCCGGCGATCGACGACGGCGTCTGCGTGCTCCGGACTGCGGCAGCTAGGTTGGTAGCTGCTTCGGCGGAAGAGCAAGACGCGCACTTTGCTTCTTCTTCTCTGCTCCTGCTGGTTGGAGGAGGCTGCTGCCTTTACCGAGCGGCCAGCTGCCCTTATAAGTAGGTTTTCTCTTGTTCTGGCTTCTGGGTCGATCGTCGTCGGCTGGGGTAGGAGGCACAGTAGTCGTCCTCCCCTCGAGATTTCCATCGATCGGATGGGGGCCACCTTTAGCTAGCTACCTCCTCTTTTCCAGATTCCTCGCAAGCTTCATCCTTTTCCTTACACGGCCGACCGCCCCTCATTTCTCTCTCTAGCTAGACGTGTAACTCTCTCTCTCTCTCTCATCCTGGCAAGTGAGTGGATCAATTTTTTTGCGAGTGACTAGATTACTCCATTGCTGAAATAAAACTACTAAGACAGTGTCCACTATATGTCATGTCTTTATTGAGGTTTCAAAAAAAAACCAGGTCCTTAATAAATGGTTTATATAATTATATTACATAATCTCGGCCCAACAGTTAAAAAGCTGAGGACATGTTTATACATGTACAATGTGAAGCCATTGCTACATTGTTTGAGCATCCGCACCCTATAAACACCTATAGCCTCGGTATACGCATCATCTTTCTCTCGATCC